CGCCTCTTTAGATCTTTTTCTTTATTTTTTAAGTTTTTGGTCTCGAACGAAAGTTATAGTATATTAAGATAGATATTCAGAAAATAGATAAAAAAATCAAATATCACAACATAAAACTTATATCTAGCATAAATTTAGAGCATATTGGTAACTGAGAAAACTCGGGACCGTAACATCTTTAAATTCTTACCATCTTTTAAACAATTTTCGTATGTGGATTATAGAAATATTTATTTAAATAATTTATTTATTTTAAAGATTTCAATCGATTAGAAAAATATTTAAAGATAATTTATTGGTGATTATTTTAATGTAGCAAGAAATAGGATTAAAGATTTATTAACACTGTTTAATAGTTTTTCATATGCCTCCAAAAAAAGAAGAAGATTCGACAGCATTCATCAGATTCTAAAGATGATAATACTATTTACGCATGTACGGGATCGATACATGTTACATTAGTGTAGCAACATCACAATATGGCGGCGTTGGTATGAAATGAAAATAGCGTGGTTACTTTCTTTAAAACTATATTTTGATGTAGGAAATATATTTTAATAAGCTGTTACAGGATCAGAAATATGCGCCTCATTTTGCGGTCATATTCCTGATTTTCTGTGCATTCAAATGTAAAAACAAAGGAAAAGTATATTTTAACTCTTACCTGAACAATTTTTACAACTTTAAACCACCCCAGATATTGTTTTCCCTCGTCAATCCTTTCGATGGTTAGGGTAGCATTTCCGATAATCAACGACGGTAATTGTCTACGTATAGATAAAGACAGACCGCTACTTTTTCCACTTATTTCCTCTATTTTTTTTAATGATATAGTACTTATTTCTTTATCAAAAATCCCTAAATCTATTTGTAAGTTTGTCGAAACATGAATTTCGAACATATTTCCTAAAGTGTCCCTTTGTCCGTCATTCGGCTTATATATAGGGACACGTGACGTAGACCCGCGAAAGCTACCTTTTTCAGTTTTTTTCTCACAGATACTGAGTCGTTGTGTTTAACCTTACTGATAAGCAATTAACATTCATTAAATGGTATCTCCGTCAGCATTGTTTTAACAAAAGGAATAGTTTTGGGATCGGTTTTCCAAGTTCTGCAAGTATTTTCAATGTTATCAGTATTAATTATGCAGAATAAAAGTTCTCACTGATCATCTGAATACTATTAAAACCACAGGTGGCAGTATCAGTGTTTTTAACATTGTAGAGATTGAGGGTCACAGCAAATACTGCACCGTCATCGGCGAATAATAATAAAAATAATTTTAGGGCATCAATAGTTAAAATACCATTTAAGTTATTATTCATAGTTTCTACAATATAATTTAGGAAAAAATACAGAGTATGCTATTAGCTTGGTCTCCTAGTTTTACTCCAATAAAAAATGTTATGGGATCTGAATTCGTATAATTATATCAGATTACAAATACATGGATTTAAAATGTGCTTACATTCGCAGTAATTGATTTTTGCCACAACCTTACTCGGTCTATTCGATCAAACATTTCTTCCCAGTCTAAGAATGCTGATGAGTAAGATGAGTAAAATTTAATAGCATATGAATACACAACCATATGTTGATTTTGATGTCATATTGACCCCTTTCAAAATTACTAAAAATAGAACGCTGCATATCATTACTGACCACAGGTTATATCTGGAGGCAGCAAGCTGTCTGCTAATAGCCAAAGGTCATTGAAATGCTCAAAAATGACCTTGTCTTTGGGTTTTATTCTTTATACTTTTTTGTCTGTATAGAAATATATTTAATTTTTTACTTAATAAACTCTCCTTTCTGCAGACAAAACACTTCTGATCCATTATTATTGGAACATAAAAACCTTGGATAAGCTACAAATACTAACATTCAATGCGCCTACTGATAAGTTATTGAATTAAACTGTATTTAAAAAAATTTCTGAGAGTAAATTTTATAATAAAAAGGCCATTTTAGTATAAAAGTCCCTAAACACTCTTCTCCCATCATTTTAATATATAAACAATATGTATCTTTATATAAATCATTTGTTTGAACTGTATACTATAAGTACATTTTGATAGAGACTCGAAAGGAAGCTTTGTAGGAGCACATTTGTCTCGGAACACATTTGTCTTACGTAAGATGAAACTGCAATGTCATGATGATGCAAAACGCGATATTATTCTCTATTGTGTCATCGTATCATCGTGAGTCCACCATTGTGTCATCGTGTTTTAATCATCGTACCATCGTACCAACTCAATTTCACCTGGGTTAAGGTTAATTGGGGTTAAGTGATTTAAACCTCACGTTCTATCTTGTTATTATTATTTTATATTTAAACCTATATATTTTTTAAAGAAGAAGATTAAAATATCTACGTAGTGATATAAAAATCATTTTATTTATTGAGTTTCAGTTTACAAAAAATCATAAGAAATGTAAAAAATGTACCAAATATAACTGTTTATTTCACAAAGCTGAATGAGTCAGATCATGTTTTTGTGCAAATATTGTTAACCTCAATATGTAGTACCAACTGAAATATGATATTTGACAAAAATACAGTTTATCACAATATAATCTAGAAATCTGCCATTTTTCTGAACTTTTTACAAATGAATAAAACTGAAAACATTCGCATCATCCTGGATTATTTTATGTTTAACCTGACCCCAGATTATAGAAACAATTAAGCTAATTGTTCCTGCATTCACTGGTAATAATTTCTTATCAGTATGACAGTGCTGATTACATATCCGTAATATCTCGGGGTAAAGACGCCTTGCAGAATGTAAGGTCAATTTCAGGTGACTCATGTTTTATTTAGTGGAGGCAGAAAGCTGTTTACTGACAAGCATCCAAAGAGAAGTTATTTCACAATTATCATACTTTAATTGTTAAAATAAGCAGCTGTTATTAGCAAAATATATCTTAAATGTTTCAGAAACTTGTGAATTATTTGATGCGTTTGTCTGTAGGTTTATTTTAGGTTCGTTTTATGTAAAAGTTAAGGATATTACTTAATGGTGAATGAAATAGTAAAAAAAACTAATGAAATATCAAAAATGAAATATTCTAATGAAATATTTTTCATAGAATTCAAAAATGGTAACATTATGATATTTACATCTCACGGTCAACATAGAATATTTCTTTTCTTGAAAACACATGAAAACTGTGCATTAACAGAATTAAATGATGCGGAACAAAATATTATGCTACTGCTTTATATATGTTTTTAATCAAACAAAACGTATTTATTTCATACAGGCATTCTTATTCAAATATATGGATGCTCAAATAGGCAAAACACAGAAAACACCATGTCATTATATGTACTTAGATTCCTAAATACGTATTGTGGAGAAGGGATGCATGGACAAACGCTATAAAAAGATTTGACCAAGAAAATTTAAGCCGTGGTAACCAACAAATAATTCTTTGCATGCATTTTACGTTTTATAATGTGACAAATTGTTTTGCTTCATGCTTTTTACTATGTTTCATAACATAAATCATAAGTAACTAGCATGTCTAATAATTTCTCCATTCCACATAGTAAATTAATCGTTAGCAAAAAATAAAGTTTAGCCTTAATTTTATTAACAGGCTTTTCTGCAGAAGTGGAAATATTTTAAATGACTGGGTTATGCATTTCAGAAGTCAAAGAATATCTTTATAATTTTGATAGATGTTCCACAAATATATGAGCCGCGTCACGACAAAACCAACATAATGGGTTTGCGACCAACATGGATCCAGACCAGCCTGCTCATCCGCGCAGCCTGATCAGGATCCATGCTGGTCGCTTACAGACCCTATAACAAGTAAATAAACTGATAGCGAACAGCATGGATCCTGACCAGACTGCGCGGGTGCGCAGGCTGGTCTGGCTCCATGCTGGTCGCGAACCCATTCTGTTGGTTTTGTCATAACGCAGCTCATATGTATTTAAGCCAGTCAGTTGTTTTCAGTTTTTTCTGTAATCTGATATTTCTAATAATATTTGTAGTTTTGAATTGTAGTTTTGAAACTGAGTTTATGCCTGAGGTTAAAAATAAATTAAAGATAATTTAAAATAAATCAATGTCAATTAAGGTTGAATGGATTTGATAATATTTCTTTCTTTATCAGGTAAGCCTTGTAACGTATGTTATTTGTACACTGCCTCTTGCTTGCCAACACTTGTAAGTTTCTAATAATAGAACAGGCTGAACATGTCGAAACACTTGTACATAATTTAATAACAACAAAAACATCAATAATAACAACAACAATAATAATAATAATAATGATGATGATTATGATGATGATGATGATGATGATGATGATGTTAACTTTATTCAAAGGGGCAACATAGTTTGGCAAGTTCAAGCTTTGTAGGAGCACATTTGTCTCGGATCACATTTGTCTCACGAAGTGTGACCGATGTGTTCGTAAACTTTCATATTTGCGATAAATTGGAAATGAGACAGATGTGTTCGACACACAATAGAAAAGACACTCGAAGCACATTAGTCTCAGACTTTTTTCCATAAAATTCTTAAAATGTAATAATTATGTCCATCTGTATACCGGCTAACAGCCATTGTTCTGTATTTTCTGTATTTATAATACCGTTTTTAGGTCACTTCCTGTCAGTTAAAAACTTCCTGCCTCTGCATAAGAGTCATATATAAAATTGAAAAATATCCCTGTTCTGCATGTCACAATGAAAATTTCTACAAGTGCAGCTTCTAGAACCTAAACGCATATGAAGCAAGTCTATTCATAGCGTTATAGATTGTTATACGTCTATTTTCAATGCTAAAAGATATATATATGATTTATGGCACTAGAAATATTCTTAGCAAAAACAAAGGTAGTATCTACGGTGGCATAAAAATAGTAAAATGGGGTAAATATATCACTTACAGTGGAATTGTCTTTTTCAAACATTTAATTAAGCGGTAGATATCTAAAACTTTTTTTTTATATTTCCACAAGAAACGTTACATCTTTCATATCCTTTCTTTAGTATTGTATAATATGAATGAACTTAATTATGAATAAAAAAAAAATTGATAAAAGCGAATTTCCAACATACATGCATGTGTAAAGTGCAATATAAAATAAGATGTAAGACTTATGGTATGATTCCGTTTTTGTTTTTTTTTCATTTACTGTATGGGACTTTTTAACTTGTTTAAAGTAACGATGGCAAAGAGGGTACATACGATACATTTCATTTTGCCTTTTTATTGTATCAGATATGTTATATACATGTATTTCAATAAGATGTCATAACATGTTTCCCATGATCTCATGATATTCTTTCGGAACACCACTAGAAGTGATTTAAATAAAGCCATGTCAGAAATGTTTCACAAAAACACACAGTTCCAGTCAAGTTAAGTAATTAATTAACAAATTCGATAATTTGCAAGGGTTGCTTATTCATTCGAAACCGGAAAATATTACTTTAGAGAACACTTCTATCAATATCTCCATTATATGTTGAATAGATTCACTGGTTTAAAATTTGACTTTTCATTCATATGTGGTAGAACCATATCATCTTTTGCAGCTGCATCTGAAAGATATTTTTACTGTAAAAAGACACTGCACAGCCAATAGGTTCTTTCTTATATAACATGGTAATTTATAAATAACATCATTTTAAATGACTTTTTAACTTTAACAGTTAATTGGATTGTTAACATTGTAAATATATGTTCATGTACCACTTGCAGAATAAACAGTTAATGAAGACGTTTTGGATGTTGTTTTTTTTGCCGTAGACCGTGTGATTTCACATTGACTTCCGGTAAAATTAACAGTAAAGAAATGAATATAGGCATAATTTTCACTGGTCATTTTAACACTAACAGTCTGTTCGATTTATCCTTTAGCACAGCATCTGTTAAAGGAAGAGTTGTTTCAGACTGAACGATTTCTCGATGGTTAGAAGAGTGTTGGAAGAGATACTAGTCAGAATAAATATAAAAACACAATATAATAATGCTATTTTCTATAGATGTTTCTAATAGCATTTCAATAAATATATAAAATGAAATTTGACAGATTGCTTTTTTGGTGGATGGTTTTTTTTCTAGTCATTATATTCTCTTCTACCGAGAGTCTGTTCGACCCGGGCTTAAGACGATTGAAACGAAAATTCTCCGTGGAATTACTGTATCTACCAAATGTTTTATTAATTCCTATTCAAATTTCATTTTTATCAAAATTAAATTACGTAAGTAAAATTGTTTAAATCTAAGATGACAATTATTGGAAAAAGTTAAGGTAGAAATTAACTGAAATGAAAATATTGAGGACAAAAAAAATGTTTTGTTTGCAGTTAGTGGTAGCTTATACACTTAACGAAACTTATAAGTACTCCGATTTCAAACTTGTAGGAAAACTCCGGTTTTCAAAATACATGTATTTGATTTTTATTACAATGGTGATCTCAGTTACTGATTTTCTGTTAAGTTTGAGTTATTGTAAAATGCATTTACTTTTATAAAATGATGATACTATGATTAAAGTTTATACAGTATCGACTTAGACTAGTTATAGTAATTCTAACACAATATAATAAAAAATTGGTCGGAGTACTTATAAGTTTCGTTAAGTGTACTATGCAAGTTAACAAGTTTGACTTCGGCCGAGTATCTTTTTAAAAATACTTCTTGTTACTAATTTAATTAAAAGCAGCGGTCAAATTGATGTTATTGCTCATATTCGGATTAATTATATCAGTAATAACTGTTATATCAATTCCTAATTGACATATGTTATTTCTACAACTAACAACTTATTGCTACTTTGACTGCACTTGTGTTGACGTCATTTTCATGTTTAGATCCCGTTTATAACATTACTTTAGTTTTTAATCAGGAAAAATAAAGAAAGAAGTATGCATATTTAATGAACATAAGCCAAGAACGAATTACTAAACAGACATCTGTTTGCCCTGTTCTTAAGACTTATATTATAGTCCATTTACAGGAGATTTATATTTTAATTATTCATACCAAACCGTAAAAGAACGAGCAAAATTTAATGGTTAAGGATTATTAATTGTATTTAAGTAGAACAACTCTCATGAAATATTAAAAACTACAACAACACACAAGCAACCAGTATGTAACTTACCTGGTTCAGTAATCTGCTGCTGTTGTTGTTTCGCTGACTGTGTACCCTCTTTGCTTTCTTTGTTTCTCCTGGTTAAAGTTAAATAATCCGAATGACAGCCTATAATAAAGTAAAAAAAATACAGAATGTACGCAATCGCCGTGTGTGTATGTTTTTTAAAATGTCATAGATATCAATGTGTTAAAGGGACTCCACGTTTTTGTGAAATGATGGAACTGAAAAAAAAATCCAGGTAAATGTACCATCTAATGTAGGTTTAGACCAATAATCTTTGTGCAAAAATTTCAGATCGTTCGCGCACTTCGTTATTCCAGAATAATTATTTAATTTGTAAAAATATGATCAAAAATGAAAAGCGTTTAAACGCTTTTCACACACAAATCGAGCTGAGAAAAGCATAAAAATACGATTTTCAATTTATTTCGAAGTACACTTCTTGACTATCTTTGCATAATTATATTTCAGTTTAAAGTGTCCGAGCTCATTTATGTACGATAATTCAAATTTTATGTTCTTATAATTTTGAACGTCAATGGAGTCGCTTTAATCGTTAACCATATGATGATCAGAACATGCTTTCTTACAACATTTGCAAAAGAATCACTTACAACAGATCTTTTTTTCCAAAATGGTATAAATGTAAGTAAAGAATCTTTTTGCCAAGGAGTCAAAGCTCTCTCTCTCTCTCTACATGGGAGTTATTAAACAATTTTGACCATCCGACATACCTCTAAACTAACACTTAAATAAATTTTGAGTCAAGTTTTCACGTTTATTTAATATTTCTCAGTATGTTTAAATAACCGCACGCTGACCTAGATATTTAATTTTACAGAACAAGACTTAGCATCCGCAGGTTCTTCCACCAAAACCAATAAATAAAAATACCGGGTTAGATAATATTCAAAAATCATTTGTATCTCTTAAATTTAAGAACCAAGAAAAGACTGGAACTGTAAATGTCAAGTTTCAGCAAATAAAGATTTTGCTTTACAAAAAAACAATTCGGGGTTCCAAAAAGGGGGAAAAAAGGGGACCTGAGTTGCCCTTGTCTTTAAGCTACGTCCTCACTTACATCCCCCGGGAGAGCCCCCCCAGAGCCCCCGGGAAAACGTCGGGGTGATCCAGGAAAAAGGGGGTTTCTTCCGTAACCCCGCCCGGGAACGTCCTGGGTGTCGGGTTTTATCCAGGGAAAATCCCCGGGATTTTGACCCCCGGTGGAAAAAAAATATTTTTCACCGGGGGGGTCCGGGAAAGAACCCCGGGAAAGGATTGCTTTGCCGGGGTTATCCTTAAATTTTTGGCCGGGGAAAGACCGGGGTTATACCCGGGAAAAACACCGAGTCCCGCCCGGGAAAAACCCGGGGAAAGACCGGGGTTTTGATATAGCCCGGTAGAGCACGGTTAGAGCCCCGATATTGCCGGAGAGCCCCCCCGGGAACTACCGGCAGAGCCCCGGGGATAAAGGCAGAGCTAACCCGGTTTTATCCCCGGTAAGCCCCGGGAAAAACCCGGATCAAATTTTAAAAAAAAATAAAGACAATTTGCGATGATTGGGACTTTTTTGTATTAAAAACCCCTTTCCCCTTTCCCTTCTTCCGTTTTGGTAAGGTTTTTCGAAAACTATGAAAATTTTTTTGGAAAAAATTTTTTTTTTGGTTTTTCCAAAACTTAATTTTTTTTATTTTCGGGGGGGTTTTCAATCCACCGGGGGTTCTCCGGGGCTCTGCCTGGATCGTTTCCCGGGGGTCTGCCGGGGGTCTGCCTGGAATTTGGGCCGGGGCTCTGCCTGGGGCAAACCGGGGGGTCTTCTGGCGTCATCCGGGGAAAGACCCGGGGGAAACACCGGGATGAACCAGCTTTTTACCTGGGCCCCTGCCCGGGTGATCCGGAGCACATCCCGGGTGGTTAGTAGGGAAACCTTAGTGCTGCGGGGTAAAATGTGACCCGCAGCAAAAATTTTATCCCCGGATGCCCCTAATTAGGGATTTTTTTGGGGGTGCCCGGGAGTAAGGGTGGGAGGCTTTTTTGTACATGGGAAAAGACGTCCCCTACAAAAAATTTTTGATGATATTACTTTATGCTAATACCCCGGGGGGGAAATTTCAGTCTATGATAAAAGATCTTTAAATCTTACACCCGGGTGCGGTACAGACCCGGGAAAATCCCATCTCAGGGTTTTAAATGTTTTTCAGCGGTAACGAGGCTTTGCCCAGTTTTTCCCCTAAAAAGTTACCTGAGAGGGTAGAAAATTTCCCGTCGTACCAACAGCCGGGTTTGAAAATTTTTTTTTTTTTTTGCTATAAACATGTCAATTATTTCGGGGAAAAGAAATTTTTGAAAAATAATATTCTTATTAACGCATTTTTTTTTTGTACCGGTTTAAAAAATTTTTCTCGGAAAAAGCGTCTTTAAAAACCTTTATTTTTTAAAAAGGGGGCCGTAAAGGTCTTTCGGCCCGGGTTGTTTCGGGGTGTGCCGTTTTTTCCCGGGGTTAAAAGGGAGAAAACCTGTTGGATGCAAAATTTTAAATATTGGGGGAGTTGGGTTAACAATCAACACCCACCCAAAAAATTTAAAAAACAATATTCGAATTTATGACTTTCAAATAACCCTTAAAAATTGAAGAAAAAAACCCCTTTGGTAAATTAGTTTATTTCGCAGTCAAAAAAATATTGCACCCGCAAAGCCGGGCTCGTGCCCTTAAAAAGCTGTTCACCACTTTAATAATATCGAGGGTTAAAAATTAAAAAAAAAGTAAAAATTAATTTACAGTTTTTGGGGACCTATTCTAAAATTTGGCTCTGAAAAATGGGGAATGCATGGGAAAGGCCGACATGAAATGTAAAATCTAAATTTTTCGTTTTGTTTTTGTCCGGTATTGGTTTGTGTATTTGTGTAAGCCCCCTTTATGGTCCCCCTTTTGTAAAACCTAGTTAAAAAAGGTTTTGTCCAAAAAACCCCCTGCTTGGGGTTTAAAATCTCTCTTCCCCTGCTTGTCCCGTAACTAAAGAGATAGCAGACATTACAAAAAAGGAAAAACAAATTTTAAAATTAAAATCAAGACACAATGACAAATTTTGAGAAAAGGGATATTTACTCAGGGTTTTCCCTTCTTTTATCAGAGATAAAATGTCAGACAAAATTTTTCCAAGAAAACAAAAATGACCATACAGACTAAACCCTTAAAATAAAAAATTTTTAAAGACATGTTTTTAGGGAAAAATTTTCTTTAAAAATTTAAAAAGGGAATTAAAGCTTCATTCAAACTGCTAGAGAAAACATTAAAATTTAAACAATGTAAAATTTTTTCTTAGAATGTTTTCCTTTTAAAATTTATTGTTTGAACTTTGGTTTAGAAAGGCCCTTTTTTGTGTTTTGTTCATGGAAAATGTTTTATTTAGGGATTTTTACTTATGAAATTTTTAAACCCACTTGTGTTATTCTTTTGGAAAAAGGCCCGGGTGTAATTATTTAGTGGCTATTGGGGCAGCCCAAAAAAATTTGCCACTAGCTGATAAAACCCCGCCTAAAATTCCCCCTGGGATTTTACCTCTATGTAGAATCAAATTAAAATAAATAGGGTTTTGTAAACCCGCGGCTGGGTTTACATTACACGTTGTGTATTATGTGTGAAACGCTCAACAAACCTTTCGGCACTTTATGACTTTTCCCCAGTTTTTTTAAAAATTTTTTGATTTATTTTTTGTGTGTATTTTTCGGCTATTTTTTTTAAATTTTCGCTTCGAATTTTTGGTTAAAAGGGTTGGGTTTCTTTTGGGTGTAAAAAATTAAAACCCTGAAATGAAAGGGGCCCTACTTAGACCTTCCCAAAGTCCTTAGTTTAGTTTCGCGATCTTTTTTTTTTTTTAAGATTTAACTTTAAAACTTCTTTTTTTTCATTTTAACCCCTTTGAAATTTGTGGAATTAGCAGCCTAAACAGGCCTGGCAGCCTAAAGAAACAAAAGGGGTTTGTAAAAAAAAATAAAAAAACCCTCAAATGAAACGGAAGTACATATTTTGAAAAAAATCCAGTCTTATTTAAAAAACCGCGTCTTTGATCTTTACTTTTTTAAAAAATTGAAAATTTTTTTTTAATTTTTTGGTTGGAAATTTTTGGTTTCCCTAAAAGCCCCCTTGCCCCAAGGGTTTAGTTTGGTGTAAAAATGAAAAAGTGGTATATTGCACATACTTTGACCCTTCCAAAGGGCTTATTTTAGGATCTGATTCTTTTTTTTTTAAAAAAATTTTTTTAAAATTTTTTTTTTTTAATTTTTAACCCATAAAATTTTCTCCCTAAAATACACGCAAAATATTGAAGGCAAATACGCTTTACGGATAGAAATTTTCCCGTATTTTTTAAAGTGAAAAATACGGTCCTTTTTGAATTTCCCCGGTTTTTTTTTGACGTTGGTTCCGATCTTAGTTTGTATCGTTGCATTTGGGGAAAAAAATTTTTGGGGGGCCTTTTAAAAAATTGTTTTCGTAGTTAAATTTTTTTTTAAAAATTTTATTTTTAAAATCGAAGGTATTAATAAAGGAAAAAGTATGTTGATGCTTTCTGAGATATGTATTTTTCTACTCGCATCGTTGGAAAATTATATCTCGCTCGACCTTCGGTTCCCCAAGATTCAATTTTCCACCGCGCTCGTAGCAAAATACAAAGCCTCAGAAAGCTACTACAACATAATATTCCGTATTTTTTTTTTTTTCATTTTGATGCTTCGAAATTTGTGAAGTTAGCAGTGATGCTTCGAAATTCGTGAATTTTAGCAGTGATGCTTCGAAATTTTAAGTACAGTGATGTTTAAATTTTTTAAGGTTTTTGATTTTTGGGGTTTAAAACTGATTTGTTGTCCTCTGAGTTTATGTAAAATTAAAAGGGGTTTTATTTCTTTTTTTTTAAATTTTTTTTTTCTTTTTTTCTTTGAAATGAAATTAAAAAAACGGGTTTTTGAAAAATCTTTTTTGTTAAAAAATCGCGATTCGTGCTTAAAATATGATAAAAAAAGACCAACAAGAAAAGGGCGGCGTTCAATAAAACGCAACCCCATATCCCCAGAAACAAAAACCCCAATGGCAAGGAGCCCAGGCGGCC